ACCATCTATCAAAATTATAATATATCTGTGCCCTGTTAGAGACAGTGTCTTTTTACCCCTTTCAACTCATAATAAGAGAGAACATTCATGTTCTGGGCAAAATTCTCAAACTTGAGCACCTAATCTACATCCACAAATGACATGCAAAGGTAACCAAACATCTTACTGCAGAACAGAGATCCTCCCTCCACCCTGAGACTTCATGCACAGTTTAACAGGTGGTTTAAAACTCTGATGCACAGCTACACTGTACTAAGCTGAGGGAAACATGCTAATCTTTATTTTTCAACCGTGAGAGGTATTTTTCCCTTTTAAGGTTTTTCCCTGGACTTCAAAGAGGTGCTGGCTGACGATTCAACCCAGAGGTGCTTATTTATAGATTAATGGTCCATCTAGAACTATCTGTACAATACAATGCTGCACAGAAATATCTGGAGTACATGTAATATGTTTACTTTTATATTAAAGGTACTTTTAATTACAACCTCTGCCAAATAATTGGCCATGTCAGAGAACAGCACAGTGTTTCTGGCAGTGGATATGAACTTAGGACTGTAAGGGAATTATATTTTGCCTGTATAGACACACAAGAATGTGGCTGTATGCGTCTTTTTTTTTTGGAGGTGGAATGTGAGCTCCCCTCAGTGCTGGCCTCAGACTGTCAGCTTCTTCGGAGGTCTTGCCTCCACATCCTCACCCCATTTTGTAAATATATTGCTATGGCCATAATTGTGCCCCTCCTGCACCTTGGAACTCAAAGGTCCCAGTGCTGCTGTGATTGTAGATAGGAGCAAAACGGCCATTGATTTCAATGTGGTGGTTAGGATTGGGCTCAAAGAGCACAAGCGCTGGGATTCAGGCTGCCCCTGAACAGTCCATTAGAAGGATGAGAGCCTTCTGTGCCCCTTCCCATGAAAAGAGAGCCAAAATCTGGCCCTAAATTTGGTAAACTATAATTGGGTTGGAGTCAATTACTGTTCTGTGCATATGCATACAAATTTCCGTATGAGTCAGCAATAGCCAAACCTATATGCTTGCCTGTATCATGAAGACATATTTGAGTTACAAAAATGCAAAGCACTCAAAACTAGGACATCTTTATTTTGTTAGTTTTTAGAATGTATATAATTGAAAAGAGCCAAACATTGTTTTTCGTTAATATTTGTAAGGGGAAAAAAAATAAGAACAGGAATGCACTGAGATTTTTGCATCCCAGAACAAAGTTCCATCCCAGAGCAGTTTTATTGCCAAGTTATAAACACATGAAAATGGGGAGTTTGCACTGGCAATGCTGGCAAACCTTTAATTAAGGCAGCGCTGCTGCTGACTGTTATAAGGTGGAGCAAGCCATTTCTCCCAATTGTGCTGCATTTTTTTTAACTGAAATATATTTCTTAGGCATTTAAATGGACCAAATGAAAAAGCAGTCTCAGCATTCCATGCCATGATTTTTTTATTTTGTGTTTCGTTTCTGTACCTAATAAAGAAGAACAAGGAGAACCTTTCTGCTTGATTTAGTTATTCAAACAAACCAGCTGTACAAATACTTCTGCCAGGGCCAACATTAAGTGAAACAAGTTGTTATATGAGGGGATGCGGTTTCAGAGGAGAGGGGTCCTACTAAAGTTCTTGGTATAGGTTTTGTCTTCCCCGAAACTACTCTTTAAACCCATTGACTCAAATTTTCCTTCCAGCTTTTTGACACTCTAGTATGTATGTTATGCATGGCCCTGGAGGAGAAAAAGAAGCTGTTCTTGTGAAATGTGCTAGAATAATAAACATTTCTAAAGGCTGTATTTGTCCATGCCAAGAAATTGCTATTGCTTGGTCATAGAAGTGTTCTCACCATCATTGTCATGGAGACTTCAATGCTGTCTATAAAGCACAGAGGTGAAATTCACTTCACCTTTGTAACGCCTTAGTAGTCAGACTGTATGCAGGTGCAGGGAAGAACTACCAAGGAGGTGAAATTCTCCCCCTCAAACCCCAACATAAAAAACAGTCCCTCCAACACTGCTGCAATTATTCCAGTCTAGTGAGTCAATTATCAACTGCATACCCTCTGTACCATTTGTACAGTGTGCTGGGGCCATTGGAGAATCTATGTACATAGGACCCTGGCTTGAACCCATTGCTGCTTTCTGTGCAGGCCTAGGTGATGCTGGCATGGTTATAATGTCTGTGGCCTACATGGAGCATGAAGACATGTCTGGAGAGAATACACGTATGAAGTAGACCTGGGTGGGAGAGTTGGATTTTCTGTTTCACAGGAAATTCCATGATTTTAATATTTTTTTCCATTCCAAAATGGAACAAAAAACTAAACTAAGTTTCCCACATAACAAAATTCTAAATGTTTTGTTTCAGGTCAATTGAAACATTTTGTTGTGGCAAGAGCAAAACATTTGGTTCTAATTTTGACCTTTAAACTTTTAATATAAAAAATCCTGCAATTAATTTAGTATTGAAAAAAGTCATTTAGAAATTAAAAAAATCAAAACCTTCCATTCTGCAAGTGTCATAATGGGATGTTTCAACCTTATCAAAATGCCTCCTTTTGCCTTTGTTGTTTTGATGAAATTTCATCAAAATCATACATTTTTCAAATCATTTTAATTTTGATGAACATGGCTGTTCCCCTTGTTTTGATGAAAACTTTCTGACTAGCTCTAACCTGCAGTCCCAATGTGAAGCTAATATTGAATTAAATAGATCTGTAAGCCAGATTCTCAGCTGATGAAAATTGTTGTAATTCCACTGATATCACTCAAGCTACTCTGGTTCACACCAGAATGTGAGATTTCCATCACATGAAGAGAAAACCAAGATCCTGAAGTTTGTTGCTCCAGCTGAGTTCATGAAGTAGAATGAATCAATGAATGAAGAAGCCAAAACATGATGTTCCCTTAGAAAAATATGTCAATATTGTACTTTACATGAATATAACAGACTCTGAAAAACAATTTGTACATATAAGTTACACAAGCATTTATCAGACCTTACGTATTATGTACATTTCTATTACAATAATCTATTTCCTGTAGTTAGAAATTAAGTACACCTGCTGGAGCCCTACTGGAAAGTACAATATGCATCAAAAATGTTCAGAAATATAAAATTCATAGTAAAGCTGCCTTGTTTTCTTTGACTATTAAATCCTCCATCGCCCATCATAGCTTACTAGCAAAAGTAGAAATAGCAATACACAAAACACTCTTGTCTGAAAAAAATACCTTCTTTTATACAGTCAGCAAAGCAGACATGTTCAGTTGTCTCCAACCAAGGTTTTTCACTGAGTGAATGGACGGGACTATATTTTCTCCCCAAATACATCGCTGGATTAAATAAACTCTGAATTCCACTGTCAGTGGACTCATTCTTGAAAGATCGTTTGGTAGGAAGATGTGGTCCCGATACGTGTGTTGGAATGTAGCGGTTAGCACAGTTAGGTACAACCAATAGTCCTCCATGTCAATTTTGAGGGTGTCACAGAAAAGCTGTGGGGCTTAATCCTGCACAGAACGTTTAAAATCTCTCCCATATCAGCAAGCATGAAATTCATGTCTGTGCAGTGGGCCCACACAAGGTCTGCACTATTTAAGTCCCATTCATATACTTTAGGGCCTCATCCAAAGCCCATTTAAGTCAATCGGAATCTCTTCATTGACTTCAATAGCTGTGGATCAGACGCTCAGTGCTTAAGTGTTGCACAGGCCTTGCATGAGCTTAACGAATGAATTTCACCCTAACAGAATGTAAACTTGATCCTGCAGTTCTTTCTCCTCAGAATTCCTCCCGCAGGATTAGGCCCTCTTTTTGTAGACTTAAGAGCTACAAATGCATTGACATTGTAAAGCAAAGTGCTGGATTTGAAATATTTTCCCTCCTTTACTTACCTGGCAAGCTCTGAGGTTCGGACGCTCAGAACTAATTATACTTTAGGTAATCGAAGCAGTGCTAAGAGTAGAGCACAATTACTTGTTTATGCCTTAACCAAGTCTTTGATTCTTGCAGGGGAAAAACAAATCCTTGGATGGAATCTCCGCAAGTAAATAAAGAAGAAAGGGAGTTTAAAATATATTTGTAACTAGCTGGTGCCTCTGCAAAAGTCACTGGTTAGTGGAATTGTGACATCAGAGACAGCATTTCCTCCTCCTCTTCTTCCTTCTCCTTTCCACTCCCTACTTCCCTGGTTCTCCCTTGTTTCCCTATCCCTTCTCCTCCTTGAATCCCAGAGATGGGATTGTGACGCAAGTGCTAAATCAACCTTCAAACAACTCATGGCTGAATGCTGATATTGAGATAGCTAAGGGAAGTAAGTGACACCAAAGACAGGAGTAGGTAGGTCTGTGGCATCAGAGGTATGTGACTGATGTGACTGTCGCCCTTCTGTTCTTCATTCCTTGTGCCTGAGGCTGGTAGAATTGTGCTGTCAAATATACATGGATCACACAGTAGGTAGAAGTGGAGGCAAACAGAATGGATGGCCTCTTTCTGGCCTATTTTTAAAGGTGTCAAATCACTGGTTAACCTAATAAAAAAGTCAAGACCTCATTGTACAAATACTAGTTGTTGGCTTTAAAATTACCCAACTACATGAAAACCAGAGGAGAAATAGTGATACATTTCACTGGGCATTCTTTCAGAGATACTTGGGAACTTTATATACAAGATAAATTCTACAGGCAAAAAGTCCTCGGACTTGCAAGCACCTAGAACTAGAACTGGGTGAACAATAGGTTTTTCAGTTCACTTGCAATTCTGGGGGGGAAAAACAGATTTTAAATTTTTTTTTCACTAAATCAAAAGTTAAAAAGAGAAAAATATAAGATTCAGGTCAAACAAAATATTTTGTTTGACCTGAAACATTTTATTGTTTTTATTTCAGTTGAACATTTAAAAAAAAATTAAATAAAATTAAAAGGAAAGTTCTACACAATCTTTTTGAATAAAATAATTTAAATATTTAATTTAGAAAATGTCAAAATGAAACAGGATTTTAAAAATATTTTAGGTTTTTTTTAAACTGAAACAATTCAAAGAAACTGACACAAATTCATGGAATGTTTTGGTGTCACTGAATCTGCATTTTTTGTGTGCAAAAAATAAAAGAAAAGAAAAGTTTGGCATAAGAGAGTTTGTCAAAAATGTTTGACAAGCTCCATGCAGAGCTGCCCAGGCACTGGTCCTATCCGTTTGCAAGGACTTTTACATTCACCTTTGGAAAGAAATTGTAGCTATTTTACTCAGCCCAATGGTGTGTAACTGTCATTTGACACTGGCAATAGAGGAGCCTTACAGCTATAAATAAGTTACTCCTTGGCTGTAAGACTCATTTAACAATCATAAAAAGACCTTTAGTGTTTAATAATTACATAAAATATTGACTTTCTAATAATGAATATTTCTTTGGCTGTGACACTGGTATAAACTAGTTCCTCATCTCTTCCACGGGCCTCCTTTACTGCCAGCACACAACTTCATTAGACAGGCAAATGTTCACCAGCTGGAGGCTCAGAGTGTCAACAGCAATTAACAAAAATCTTAATTTCCAAATACATTTCACAGTTTATTCATAGTGCAAAATTGTTCCTTACTTATCAGATTGCTGGGCGGAGTATTATGGCTACAGTTTTCCTATTAATGAATATTATCGAATAACTAGCACAGCTTGAACAAAAAATATTTTTGAGATCGCTCCAGGACTTTCATGAGGCTCCCAAAGAAGTGTTTTGTTTCTCTACTGATGCTTATGCCTACTAGTGTTGAATGTTTTTAATACAATAAATAGTTTACCTTCATTTCTGTTATGCACCTGATGTCAGGAGGGTAATTCTGTCTGAGATCCTTTTGAGCTAAGGATTTGAATACCTTGGAATGACGGGTTTCTCCCCTCCCACCCAAGTGCAAACATTTCCAGGAAAGCAGCAGAGCTGATTAAAATGAAAACAACAACAGATTCCAAGCCTGTTACACCTAATGAAAGATGATCGTTTAAAGTCTAGGGTGAAAGACAGGTATTTAAAGCAACAAATACTGAACAATTCCAATCCTTCGTGTAGTTAGTCCAGTCTGGAAACTGAACACTTCTTTCTATGAACTAATCCGTTCTTCTATATCTGCTATGGGATACCTTGAATTGTTATGACTATGGAATCTGTGTGCCATATGGCCAATAGCAGGAACTATGGAAAATCCAAATGTCTCATTGAATAGTTCCATCTTCAGTCCTGTTTCTAAAAGCAGCATGCTGTAGTAGTATCAAATACTAGATCCACCTCTCTCAGGCAGACTCTCGCTGGGCCATCACTGGCCGAAGCTGATGCTTCTATAGTTTGCATATGATGTGTCCTGTTTAACACTCTCTCATAGTGGCTCTCAAGTCTGCACTCCTTCCCTTCGCCCCACCCTGCCATGAACAGAATGCAAAATGACCTGTTTGTCTTGTTTTCCTCCGAGCTAGGCAGACGTCTCTCCAGATTTTAATGCAATGAGTTCAGAGTCATCTATGTATTTTCCATTTAACTGTTCGTTGGTGGAATCATGGTGATTCAGATAAACGGGGACCTCGCTGATAGATGTTGCTGTGTAGGAGGTAGATCGCGTAGAGCAGTGCTCGCGTCGTCTTTGCCCCCATTGGGTCTTATACTGCATCCATTGCCTTTTTAGAGCGCCCTGTACCTGCAAGGGAAGCCAAGCAATAGTTTTATCGGTATAATTAGTCAATGGAGTTGGCTGGGATTTGAACTGGCATCACAAAGCACAAGCTGGCTCCCTTCCCTTTTTTTATTATGCTGGAAATTCTACTTTGCAATATCAACCCAGTGCCATGGCTTTTCACCGAATGTTTATTTTAATCTCGTCTCCACCTTGCTTTGAGGTTAGAACTGGTTGAAAAATATTCAAGAATAGTTTTATTGGGGGTGAAGTGTCCTCAGTGCAAAGAGCCAGCACAGAGCGCTTAAGTAAAACTTCAGCAGTGTAGCTTAAGTGGTGTACACTCAGGACATTTTGCCCCGGCTAAACTAGCCATGAATAGTAAAACTGAAGTGATGCACAGGCCCGCTGCCCGGTGGTTTTCATCCTTCGTACATACACCATCACGGGGAGGAGGAGAAATCAATTTCCTCAGACAGCTGAAGTAAAATGTATTTCAGAGCTGGGGACCCAATTGTGACTCGGCCTATATAACCATGCAGAGAAATATCAAACCTCCTTAACATCCTTACTGGCCATTCCCAGGCCTTGGGTCCAGGCACGAAGGAACGAATGGGGTACTCGTCTGCTTGCTCCCTCCCCAAAGCAGGTGTGTGGAGAATAAGAGGGGAACAGACAAAGCCAGAGTGTTGGGGTGGGTAGTAATTTACGGCAACAACGTGATGTAAATAACTACGCTGGGAGCAAGAAGGTGAGGAACTGAGACATATGGATGTGTCCCTGTGCCACAGTGCTCCGGGGTGGTACAGATTACATACCACCCTTTGCTCAGGGCTGTGTCTAAACACACAGACTAGCCCTAAGATGGGCTGTACCTTTGACTTAGGTAGCAACATTAAAGTATTGTTCATATCCCTGGTAATGCCCAAATTCTAATGCATTTTATTAGTTCATGGACATGTGATACAGGAAGGCCAAGGAGCAGTGGGAACTGGTAGAAGGGAAGTATATAAACCCTAGGTTAATTAAGGCGTGGTTCCCTGTAGACTAGGGAGGGTTGCTACAGGTTAATTGGAGCACCTGTAATCAATTAAGGCCCTGTTAGAAACCTAATAAAACCCCCTGCTTCAGGCAGTCAGGGGGAAGGAGAGAGGACTGGAGCTTGGAGGTGTGCTGTGAGACTTGGAGGAACAGAAAACTGGAGTAAGGGAAACCCTGCCCCAGCGTTTAAGGACTGAAGGTACCCCACCCAAGGGGGAAGAGGGTAAGAACCTGCAAGGGTTGAGAGTGGTTGGGACTCAGAGTGAGGAGCAAACCCAGACCCCTCCCCCGCTTCCCTCCTTTACCACCTTCCTGGGCCACTAGTGGGGCCCTTGGTGCCCCAAGAGCAGGGGTAAGGGGTGGTATTTTAGTCCCCCCCCACGAAGAAAAGCGCAGGATCCATCATACTATATTGACCATCTTGTCACAGACAGTAAAATGTCACCCACACACAAATAGCACCAGCAGCAGCCTCTGTGCCTCTCTAGTGGGATGGAGGGAAGCTACTGTCATGTCATATAAAGGTGAGGCTTCATTAGGCATTGCTAAAACTCTGAGGGCTGGTCTACACCCAGCTGCTAGTTCGGCGGCTGGGGATCGAAGTTCTGGGTTCGACTTATCGCGTCTGGTCTGGACGCGATAAGTCGAACCAGGAAGTGCTCGCCGTCGACTGCAGTACTCCAGCTCGGCGAGAGGAGTACCGCGGAGTCGACGGGGAGCCTGCCTGCCGCGTGTGGACCGCGTCTGAACCGCGGTAAGTTCGAACTAAGGTATGTCGACTTCAGCTACGTTATTCATGTAGCTGAAGTTGCGTACCTTAGTTCGACTTGGGGGGTTAGTGTAGACCAGGCCTTAGATGCTTACAGAGCGTACAGTGGGTTACGTCACTATGCTAAGAAGGGATATTTCAGTTGCTTGCAACTTTGTATTTTTAAGCCAAGGGCCAAGCCGAGTGATCCTAAAAATCCTTCCTCATGCAAGTAGTTGCACTGACTTCAACAGGACTACTCATGTGAGTAAGCAAGCATTTGCAGGGCCCTTAACATGTAACAAAAACGACAGCCATCTCATCTCTTTGCTGTAGTCCAGTTGAAGACAATGTGGTTAGAATTGTTTTCAGCTGGAGAAGTGTTGTTTTTATTTACTCTCCCATAACTCAAGAATGGCTGAATGTATTTGTGCTATAAGCCAAGCACAGAAAAAGCCTAAGGTTATACTGGAAACCACTGTGCATCCTGACTTGTAAGGGGCATGACCAAAGTTTATTATGGTAATACTGAGGGGAACAAACTGCATTAATGAGATTTTCATATCATGCCATTGCAGAAATTCGATTAGTGAAAAGGAGCTCCGGTATGATTTAATGTGACAAGGCATTGCTAATACAGTGGCAAAGCTTTAGTACAGAAATGTAGGTAACTCCTGTATGGATTTCAGTTACTTAATGAGCAGCTTTTACCCTTACAGTGGTTCATATCGGGTGTAAATGCAGTGGCTCACATCAGTGAAACCCACAGGAAGGGACCAGGGGATGCAATCTTTGCAAGGATTCACTCAGAGAATTTCCCCACATCATTCTGTGGAGCAGGAGGAGATAGGGTTTCCCACCCACCCGTGGGGAAAGGCCTGGAGGACAGTCCTTGAAACCTGTTGGATCAGAGGGAGGCCAGGGCAACCTGTGCAGAAACCTTGTTTCTCTACACTGGCTCTAGCCACCAGCAGCCCCTTTTCCCCCCTTACCTACCTTGGAACACAACTCCATTGGGGCTGCACTGTGAGCAGGGACTCCCCCTGGCCATCGCTGCCCTGGAGGCTACTGGAGTGTGGGTTGGTGCTCTGCAGAAAAGATGATTTGGAGTTTACCCTTTCTGAGTAAACTCCATGTGGCTGGAAGGAGGAGGAGGATGTGTCCCCTGGTCTTGCTCCTGGCCCACCTATGTCTTCCCCCTCCACCCTCCATGAGGATCCCAGGACCAGTGAAAAGGCCCCCGTGGGTCCAGGGTGGGAGGGAATGCTGCTGCAGAAGGTGGGTGAGCCCCCCATGTACTCTCAAGCTGCTTTTGCTCGTGCTGTGGTCTGAGGTTGCACCAGGACAAATGCAAGTTAGGGAAGAACGTGGCTTAAAGAAAAGAGGCCTGATCATAGTATGAAGCGCTGCACAATCTACTGTGAGTAGCAGCTCATTTTGATCTCATCGGGGTAAAGCTTTGGTTGTGGGGAGTTTGGAAGAGTGCAGGCATTCCTCTCCCAATTCAACCCAGGGTTAAAAGTGCCATGAATTAAAATGAATAAGCTCCATGTAGTACCGAATGCATGAGGTTAAAATATATGTGTTTTTAATTCTTCACTGAACCTTTGGTTTATGAGATTCTGCTGTACTTACAAATTGAGTTAAACTGTATTTCTGTACTAATGCCAAGGAATAGTAAACTGATCTCAAATGATCATATCCTCTGCTGATTAAAACTATTCATATGCAGATTTGAAATGTGTTAGCTACATGACTGTGCTTTTAAAAATCATGTGCATTATATTATGTTAATAATCAAAGAGATTATCAACTGGGTGTTACACCACAATGATGCATGAAATAAACCAAAGTCTAAAATAAGGAGGAAGTTTGGGTTCACTTTATTCTTCAGCTCTTTAAAATGTTTTCTGTTCTCTGCCAGCCATTCACACCTCTTTGGCAAGAAAGATATATGGCTATATTTTCAAACAGATTTTCCATTTTCTTGGCCAACCTTCCAGTCTAGAAGTAACCTCAGAACTGGAAGTATGGTCTACTGAGCAGGTTAACACAGAAAGCTCATACCATCTGTATAGTGTTGTTGTTGGAGAGAGGTACCACAGTGCTGCTGGACATTGTCCCTTCACAAGAATAACATTCTGCAGTCATGGGTGGGGCCAGCTCTCAGCTTAGGGAACTGAGAAAAATCATTCACTTTCTTCTTTTCCTATTAGTTAAGACATCAGTGATGTTCAATGGCTTCTTATTCAGTGTCTTGGCGGACAGTGCTGTAGGCTGGGCTTGTATGGAATGGAGGACAATAATTTGCAGTGAGGAAGTGAGTGTGTGGTTTGCTGCAAATACTGATGTGAAAGGCTAATAAGTCTTGGGAGCAGTGGTTTTGGACAAACATCATCTGCTTTTGCCTTGAAGTGAATGACCCAGTAGTAAAAAGTAAATCATTGAGGAACAGAACTTCTGTCACATTAATGCTGAGTCCCTACCTCTGTCATAGTATGTTTTTCCATGAAATATCACTCTGCATTCTAGTGACCTGGCAGTATTTGGATATACAGGTTTGGAAATGGTCTCTCACCAAGCCTGAGGACCTGCCTATAGCTTTAATCTATGCTGTGCATTCGATCCAAGCTGCAGCATGAGCCCCAGGAGGAATTCTGGTTGACTCAGCCAGAATTCTCCAGAAACCCAGGAGGGAACACATGCTGGAGTGCCTACCTCTGGGAGAGGGTAGCAGATGGTCCTTTCAATGCCAGGCCAACTCCAAGGACCAGTGTGGGGAGATCTCAGGCTGTCCCTTTCAAACCCCTTTTTTGAAGTGCCTAATGCTGCCACTGATGCTAACCAGGGGCAGTATCTCTGCTCTTTACCAAGATTATGGCATTCAACCTCTCTCTCTTCCCTTTTGCACCTGAAAGAATAACTGGAATTTGGAAGAAAGTGATCGAGGACAAAAAGGAGGTAAGGTGTAGACACCACCTTTCTAGAAAGAGAAAATGTCTGAAGATTAATAAGGTCGCTTAACTGAATCTCTATAGAACACTGTGGGCCCACTGCTGCCAGGGCCGGCTCTACCATTTTTGCCGCCTCAAGGAAAAAAAGAAAAGAAAAAAAGCCGCTTGGATTGCCGCCTGAACTGCTGAAGCAAAAAAAGAAAGACGCCCAGACTGTGCTGCCCCAAGAATGGATGGAATGCCTCCTCTTAGCATTTGTCACCCCAGGCACGTGCTTCCTC